GACGGGGTTTCACCATGTTGACCAGGATGGTCTCGATCTCTTGACCTCGTGATCCACCCGCCTCAGCCTCCCAAAGTGCTGGGATTACAGGCGTGAGCCACCGCGCCCGGCTAGCACTTCTTTTTTAATAAGCTGTTCCATTTACCATTGCTGCAGAACAGATCAACCCAAAAGTTAATGGCTTAAACCAGCAATTTAGTATTGTCTCTCGTGGTCCTATTGGTTAAGTGCGCTCAGCTCTTGTTAGGGGATTCTTCCGTGGTTTCAATAAGGTGTCTGTTGGGGTTGTAATCATCTGGTGACTCTACTGGGCTGGACATATAAGATGGGAGCTCAGCTTTGGCTATCAACTGGAACACCTGTCTATATTTGTCCTCCATAGCACGGTGACCTCAAGGTAATTAAACTTCTTAGGTGGAAGCTCAAGGCTCCAGCATAGGTATTTCAGTGAACAGTTCAAAAGCTGTATCACCTTTTATGACCCAGCCTCAGGAGTCACACAGCCTCACCTTCACCATATTCTATTCATCAGTGCAAATTTGATGGCATGGGACTTAGACTCCACCCATGTATGGGGAAGTGGTGAGGTTCTTTTATAGAAGACATATACTCAGAAGTTATTATTATGGCCATCTTTGGAGAATAAAATATGATACATTGGTGTATGTTGAATATAAGTTAATTTAGTTGGGATGGCTCAATAATCATTACAAGTATCCATTAATATATAGCATATTAGTAGATTAGTGTGTGACATTTTGGTTGTTTTTCTGTGTCTTCCCTAATGTCACCCTACCTTCTTGTCTTTCTGCTTGCTTCTAACATTCCACCATACCTCTAGTTTGCCACTTTTAATCTTCCCTATGCTAGGGAATAGATGAAGAAAGAGAGAGAGAAAGAGAAAGATACAAAGTTCCATGTTAGTTAAGTATCAAAATTGTGTTTTCAGTACAGTTCTGGGTAACAGATGGCTTGGCTTGGTATAGGGTAACATTCAAAGACCATTTGGGGTAAGTTCTGATTTCACAACTGTTATGGAGGATTGGAAACTATGTATCTCATAGTGTCTACTCAGTTTTCACGATAAGTATATACTTAAAAATTTGTATAACCTAATACATTTGTAAAAATCAAATTGTATGTCAAAAACTCATAAGAACTAATTATGTGAAGAAATTCTTTGGGTTTTAGGAGGAATGAAAATAATCACTTCTGATGTGTTATGTGTAAGTTCAGAATTTTATTTATCAGACATTTTTATGTTGAGGTGGCAACAGTGGAAGAAAACACCTGCATAGACATAGCCCAGTGGACATTGCATCATTAATTTTCATTACCTTGCTAACATTAACTTCGATATCTGTCAAACATGATTTTTTAAAGAAAATATTTGAAATTCAGCAGAACTTCTTTGGAAGAAAAGTAAAAAATTTCATCTTCACTTTTTTGCCCTAGTGATACCCAGTAATTTACAAGCCAGTTATAAATTAATTGTGCAGTCAGTTTTTTAAAATTTTATCTTAATTTTAATTGACAATCATTGTATGTATGCATGGGGTACATGGTGATATTTTGATATGCAATAAATAATCATCAGATAACAGTAACTAGCATATCCATCATCTCAAACATTGATCATTTCTTTGAGTCGGGAGCATTCAATATCCTCCTCCTAGCTATTTCAAACTATGTAGTACATTATTTTTAACTATACTCATCCTGTACTAGCATAGAACACTAGAACTCATTCCTCCTATCTAGCTGTAATTTTTTATCCTTTAACAAATCTCTCTATCCCTCCGCTCTCCCTGTCCTTCCGGTCTCTAGTACCCGTTGTTCTACTTTTTACTTCTATGAGATCAACTTTTTTATACATACACACACACACCACATTTTCCTTATCCGTTCATCTGTTGCTGGACACTAAGGTTGATTCCATATCTTGGCTATTGTGAATAGTGCTGCAATAAACATGGCAAGATGTCTGTTCGGTATGCTGATTTTCTTTTCTTTGGATAAATGCCCAGTAGTAGGATTGCTAGCTCATATTGTAGCTCTATTTTTGTTTCTCGAGGAGCCTTTATACCGTTCTTCATAGTGGCTCTACTAGTTTACATTCCCACCAATGGTGTACAAAGGTTCCCTTTTCTCTGTATTTTCTCCAGCATTTACTTTTTGTGTTTTTGATAACAGACATCCTAACAAGGGTGAGATGATGACTCATTGTGCCTTTGATTTGCATGTCCCTGATGATTAGTGATAATGAACATTTTTCATCTATTTGCTGGCCATTTGTGTGTCTTCTTTTGGGAAATGTCTGTTAAGATCATTTGCCCATTTTTAAAATCAGATTGGTTGGTATTTTGCTGTTGGTTTTCTGGTAGTAGTTTGAGTTCCTTGTATATTCTGGATATTAATTCCCTGTCAGATGAGTAGTTTGCAAATATTATCTCCAATTATGTAGGTTATCTTTTCAATCTTGATTGTTACCTTTGCTGTGCAGAAGGTCTTTAGTTTGATACAGTCTCATTTGTTTATTTTGC